CCAACTCGTGCTGAATTTCACCATATTGAATGGCCTATCATTATTTTTTCCTTAAGTCTTAGTTAAATCTGTCTGAAATTTGAATGGCATACTATTAAATGACCCTGTCAATGAACATATTGTGATTAAACATGAAAATGATGGTTGTCATACGATTAAACCATGGTTTTAAAGAATTTTAGCATAACATCAATGGAGATTTGGCCCAAGTTTTTTTTAAATGTCATGGAGAATGATTTAAATGACATAAATGTGTAAATCAAAGCTATTATTGTAGGAAACATATCACTGAAGTCAAATATGCTATTAAAAAGAAAGAAAAGTAAGTCATTAGAGGTAAAATGTGCAAATCTCTTAAAATCTCATGAAAAAACGAGAATTAGCGAGATTTCAAAATCATTTAGAAACTCCTCTATTGTAGCAAATTGACAAGAATATTGTATTAATTGCATGATATCAGTCAAAACTAAATTGATACATGGAAAGTGAATGATGTCATGAAAGTTAATTAATGCAACAAATGTTACAGAATATATTTTATGGGCAATTCATTTAAATATGAATAGTACCTGCCAACATTCATATTTTAAATGAGTTGGTCATAAAATAGTAGGTTAATCCGGTAGTCAACAGCCGAAAGTTACATTCGCGAATACAAGCAAAGTTCTAGTACAGAAAATCAGAACTTCACACATAGTTTGTATCATTATCAAACAATCGTTAGCATTTTCACTGTTAAGGTTTGAAACGTTATATGTTTGTCATTACTTAAAGGCTTTGCCATAATTCACAATATCAATATAGAGAAATGATGATTATTATAAAGGCACGATGCAGAACTCATATGAGAAGGAATTGAATATAGTACCAGTACAACATGCATATTGCATGTTATATTCTAAAAAACAAGATATTCAAATATTGTTTTCTGAAATCAAAAATGGAAGTTATTGATTCTTCACTCAGTGAATAACAGTGACAGGACACCATGCTAGAGAAACATTTAATAATAATATTTAAGAACATATAGCAAATGGAAAAGTATGAAACATTTGGAACATTTATTAAAATGAAAGAATTATCTACATGTAATATTCCAGAAAACTCATTGAATGACTTCTGACATCTTCAATAAACCTTGGTTGAAAAACTAAAAGTTATTATTACAATAATATTTAGATACCAACAGTGTATTTATTAAGGAGAAAACTAGAAAGCACAGTTACAATTAAAACTATCAAGAAGAACATACTGATGTAAGTGCAAAACTATAGCGGAACACCTTTTCATGTTGAACACCTTTGTATGTGGAATACCTCACAATTGATCATTTTTAAGAAACCCAACTTTCTGATTTTATGTCATTAGACCTCTCTAATTTGGAACACTTTTTAGTTTTGAGGGCTTTATATTTACCAGATAGGGTCTGTTTAACAGGAGGATATAATCAACAATTAATGTTCTGCAAGTGATTTCAAATTGATGGTTATGAACAGAGTCAACCCTCATAAGGTTAGGAAGCAAAAAATATGAGAATCATGCCTGCCACTGAGCATCATATCACATAATATACACAGCTGGGGGTATTCATTTTAAACTAATTTTAATTGAACTTGATATTTAATAAATTATTAAGCACTGATTTTTTAACTAATTGAATACATCACATTTATGATTTAATTATGAATCTGCACCTAGTTGTAAGCTAATCAGCTTATAAATAACTAATAATAATTCCAAACGATGCTTTATTATCAACAAACTGAGATACATACTACGAGCAAACATGTTGATGAGATTAACAACTCAGCTTATATGCTGACTGGCACTCATTTTAAAATTATCTATCGCAAATCAACTCATCAAACAAGAGGATCATGATGAACTGTAGCGATACACCATTAGAGGACTACTGGGAATATCAGCTCAGTCAGAATATCTACAAATATGGTGGGATCATTCTATTGGTCATTGGAATCATCGGAAATGTATTATCGATGATTGTTCTTCTCAGGAAAAAATTTCGAACAACCACTACGGGTGTTTATCTATTCGCTCTATCAGTGACAGACTGCACTGTCATCATATGGGCTCAATTCTTACGTCATGCGCTCCGTGGTCTAACTGGGATCGACCTCCCAAATCAGTACCCCTGGTTCTGCAAGCTATGGTACTTTATCATTAAAGTAACAACAACTGCCTCAGGATGGCTTCTGGCAGCACTGACCATTGAACGGGTTCTAGGTAGGTTAAACATATTAAAAGTAAAGGAATTAAGTGACAATGTAATCATCATTTTTTAAATCAGGTATTATATTTTGGCACACCAGTAAAGCAGTAAATTGCATATTCAATGTATATCATATAAACGTAATTGATGTTGTCTATCATGTATTTCATATCAAATATTTTAAATGTATTACATGTACATCTTGAATGTTTTACACAAAATACTGGCAGCTTCTTTTTGGGTAGTATCTATAAGTAAAAAATCCAAAATACAATTTAAGTTAAGATTTAAGTTAAGGGTTTGCGAGGCTTTAGACAATAGACAGTAGAATTCAATTACTCAGATGCGAGTAAGTAGTTACCAGTTTCGCCACCAGGTGGCTGATTCGGGGGAATTAACATGGCAGGGTATTACAAAATTCCCTTAAACTTGAATATGCATCAGTTTTAGTGGTTCACTTTTCATATTACCTTTATGTATCTGATAGTTATACAAATTAAAATATGTCCAGTAAAAGAAAATATTATCTACCCAACACAAGAAAAGATATTTCACTTTTTGTGGTTTTACAACATGGGGTCTATGGGGAATCTCCCCGACCTAGAAGTCACATTTTCAAAGAAAATTAAATTTTCAAAGTTGATAAACTCTTTTCAAAATCACATTTCTAAATGTAATTTTACATGCAGATTCCAAATATGACATCAGCTTGACTGAATTGTGAATCTTTAATGAAGTAAATCAAGATTATTTCTACTCGCATCTGGGATATTACAAATGAATAAATTTATAAATGATGGATAACGGGCATTGGAAATAGCAAATCAGGTCATTCTGATTTATACAACTACCAATTATACCCAAATGAAACTAGAAAAACAGCAACTCCACGGAGTAGCAAATCCCATCGAACAAAACATGTTTTGATAAAAAAAATTATCAAAGATTATGGCTTTATGAAACATGCTTGCCATTTTGAAATTCAGCTGTCATCTTTAGATTTCTTCTTTAGCAGAGAATGTCCGTCCAATGGTATCTGGGTTATCAAAGGTTATCAAAGATGGCAGCCATTTTGAAATTCAGCTATCGCCTTTGAAATTTCTTCTGAAGCAGATCTCCTTTTTCCCTAAACATCAGCATAGAAAATTGGAACCAAATCCTTCCACTAGTATTTGAGTTATCATTAATTACGTTTTTTTACGAAAAATGGCGGCCATTTTGAAATTCAGTGGCCATCTTGAAAATTTATTTTTGAGCAGAACTTCTTTGTCTCTAGGCATCAGCATATAGAATTTGAACCAAATCCGTCAACTGGTATTTGAGTTATCAAAGGTTACGCTCTTTTATGAAAAATGGCCGCCATTTTGAAATTTAGCTACCACGTTGAAAATCCCTTCTCGAGCAGAGCTCCTTTGTCCCTAGGCATCATCATGGAAAATTTGAACCAAATCCATTCAACGGTAATTGAGTTATCAAAGATAATGTTTTTTTATGAAAAATGGCCACCATTTTAGAATTCAGTTGCCATCTTGAAAATCCTTTCTTGAGCAGAGCTCCTATGTCCCTAGGCATCAGCATTTAAAATTTAAACCAAATCCATTCAATGGTATTTGAGTTATCAAAGATAACGTTTTTTATGAAAAATGGCCGCCATTTTGAAATTTGGTGGCCATCTCGAAAATGTCTTCTTGAGCAAGGCTCCTTTGTACCAAGGCAACAGCATATAAAATTTGAACCGAATCCATTCACTAGTATTTGAGTTATTAAAGATTATATTTTTTCCGAAAAATGGCCGCCATTTTGAATTAAGCGGCCATATTGAAAATTCCTTCTCGAGCAGAGGTCCTACACCCATAAGGCATAATCCTATAAAATTTGAATGACATCCGTCAACCGGTATTTGAGTTATTGCCTGGACACACGAACAAACGGACGGACGAACGGACGGACGGACGGCTTTTCTATATCCCCCTCGAACTTCATTCGGTGGGATAAATATGCTATACGGGTTTTTACTTCATGAAGGTATTGTTATTACTTCAAAGATGATTTGATACATAAGACATAATTGGTCATCTATATTTAATGAGACAAATTAATCAATGTTGGTACATACAGTAAAACCTGCAAACAGGGAATGCTCTTGGGACTGGAGGAAAGTTTCCTTGTTCAGAGGTTTTCCCTATAGAGAGGGGCTGCACTTTCAGCAAACTCAAACTTGCCGAATAAGCATATTTGTATATCTAAAGGCATGTAAGAACTAAATTCCAAGTTTCATCAACCCCATTTTATATCATTGATAATCTAGAAGTTTGGATCAGTAAACTATTTGAAGAGATTTGGCTCAACATAACACATGTACTTATCTGTTATCTTCATAAAACAATTGTGTCAGTCCCTAGATTATCACGACTGATTAGATGTAATTAGGTTTGTTGAAAGGAAGAATTAGTGTCATGATAATAAGTAAAAACAGATTAGTTTTAGTTTTTAAAATATATCAGGGTAATTAACAGTGGGTGGGATGCTACATCCTGTAAACAATTGGCTTATCTTAATCTTATTCATATTAATTCAAGCTTTTTAGAATCAGATATTGGCTTAAGACCTTCACACCTCTGAAAAACAATGGGTATTCCAAATTTTTTCCAAAAATGTTCATAATTTGTCCCAAAATAGTGTTCCTTGTTCCCTGTTCACAGGTTTTCCCTACAGAGAGGGTCCATTAACATGTAAGTCAATTGAAAAATATTTGGTTCTTTTGAAAAACATTCCTTGTTCATAGGCTTTCCCTACGGAGAGGTATTCCATCGGGCAGGTTTTACTGTACTTGCAACAAAATAGCTAAATATATATTATCTAATACTGAATAATGTGTTGGCCAGAAGAAAAGTTTGTTTCAATTCAGGGTATTTGCTTTTGTCAAGAATTGAGCAAAGATCTCTCCAACATTAATCCAAATGGGCAAATGCGCCTACTTGGGCTTATGAAGTCTTGCAGACTTGCACCCACCTGAAACCTATTTGCACCCACTTGAAAAAAGTGAGAAAAATCATGGAATATTGGCATATTTTGACCAACTTTGGACAGAATTCTTGCACACCTTTTGCACACCCTTTCCTGAAAATACTGGGGAGAGCAAAGGTTAATGTAAAACCTTTTAGTGACATCTTCCTCACCTTAGTCAAGTCTGTTTCTCTTTTTTTAGTACAGAATATGAATGAAGAAACAAAAGTATTACTTCCATTTGTATAATTTGATGTGTAAACAAAATGTCTAATGCCTTTGCTTTATTCTATACTAAATCATTATTTTTCTTTAGTGTGACAGGTTCATAATTTATTTTAAAACCCTGCTAGGATATTTAGCTCGCTAATTTCAAACCCTGCTGGAAGAGCAGCATTTTGACCAGGTGCTACCACCCTGTTAAAAACAAGTTTGCACCTTGTCAACAATATTTATTAATTATCAACTAGTTTCACCAAAGAAGGTAATACATGTATAAGGATTTAGCACCATGTAAAGAAAAAATGGGAAAATCAATGCCAAGATTAAATTTTTCTATTGGTACCAGGTATAAGATCTCATCCCATGTGAGTTATTGCAAATTTACCTTCATGCATTTGTTAATTATACATATTATACATACATATAATACCTTATTATTAGTTAATGAGGAGGCAAAAGCATTCTTCATATCGCAAATTATGTTCTATAATTCTACAACCAGATTGCCATTAGTGTACGATTTCCAATAGTTCTATTTTGCTTTTTCAAAAGAGAGCTTCATCTATTCTCCTTGAGTTAGAGATAATCATCTGATCTATTCTTTACCAATCAGAATTCTGAGAACATGTCTGATAAAAATCTAACTACCTGATCAAGATGACATTTACTGAATTTTGTGCTTTTTTAGGTTTAAAGGTTTTTATTATCATTTTTTATCAAAACCGTGTTACATATAGAGCAAGGGCCGAAGCAATGCATTATTGGCCCTGGTAATCAAGAAGCATTATTAGGCCTGGTAATCAAGAATTAATAATAATATAAATGATAAAGTTGCAAAGAAAACGTATGTGCCAACTCAGGCATGCAGAACAAACTTACTCATTTAAAATCGAAACAATTGATTTCAGTAAACCTATCATTAAGCCATGATGGCAAACTTCGGGTCCTGTATATCTTATCAACATAAAAAAATGTATATTCATATCTCATATTTTTAGAGCTTAATGTACCAAGCTGTCACCCTCAGGGTTACACTATTAATGATAATGAACAAATATCATTAAGATAATGCTAAAGCTTAGATGTCAACACTTAGATTTCAGGATGTTATAAATAAGGCTCGGAGGTTGTTAAATGGCAACAGGCACCAAACAAATGGAAAGTGAATCATAGATAATTTCATGTGTATTTCTTTGGTATTTCAACATTCTTTCCTATTCTTAATGATAGCAACTGTATGTTGCAACTCATTTTAAATGTGTTATAATATAGAGATCCAGACAAGTGAAAAATAAGTCATTAACATGCATAATGTCACAACATACCATTTGTTACAGACACCAACTGCCAAACACTATTCACAAAAATTTGTAGACTATAACAATATGTCACCATTACTGGTGATGATATAATGAGCCCAAAAAGAGCACTGAAAATGCTAGTTGAGTAAACATAAGGCAGACACCAGAAACTAAAATGCCCCCATTTCTTTTACTAATTGAAATATTAGATGGCAAGCACGTGCATGGATATAATGTACATCTATACAATAACAGCTCCATAAATATATATGTAGCTGTTAATACATAATCATTTAACATTGATATCATTTGTGATTCAATCTTAGTTTATATACTATTTGTTTAAGGTATCTACATGCCACTGAAATGGCGCATCTACAGCACAACACAAAATGCCAGGATTGGGATAATCGCCATCTATATTTCCTTAGCAGGCATCAACATGCATTACTTCTGGTCATACGGTCCTGTTTACATCACAGATGAGAAAAACATCACTACAAAAGCTACAGGGTGTTCCATATCAACTGATGACTCTAACCTAGAGCACTTCATGCTCAACTATAGGCCAACAATGGATCTAATCACAAGAACTTTCTTGCCATTTGCGGTTATTGCCATTGGCAATATTATGATTATATTTAAATTGAAGAAACAGCTAAGAACACGTGATCATCTGACACAATCTAAAAATGAATTTCAGAAGATTGACAAATATGGTGCTGAAAATGTATGTGTGGAAATGATAGGATACAGACAGGCTTTGTGTGATTATCGAAATATTTCCAATACCGAGATAAACACTATAAGTAAAAAAGCTATGTACGAAACAAATAGCACAAGCTCTATGGTGTCCCTGACATCAAATATGAGAACCCCAAAGAATCATAGAGATTCTGTGGACAAAATGACTTTAATGTTGATCTCGGCTAGTATCAACTATATTCTATTGGTGGCGCCAATGGCAATCATGTATCTCATAGAGCCGTACAATCCAGGGGACACCAGAATATGCCCAGATGCCAATGCACAACATGCCCTTATATGGTCATGTTTACTGTTCGTATTCTATACAAATTTTTGTGCTAACTTTTTCATGTATTGCGCAAGTGGAAAACAATTCAGAGATGAAATCATGAACATTTTACAGGGCGTATCAAAAAAAACGCAACAAGTAGTTATCTCGTAAAATCACAAAACTAGTGATGACTACATCAATTTAAGTCAATGTACCATAAAGCCACGTCTCTCCTCTTTGCAATGATATGTCATTCATTCACATGTGGTAATGGTTGGGTGAGAAATCCTTCCATTTGCACAGTGGGTCAAAATCCGCTCTGCTCCAAGTTTTAGATATTGCAAAAATCAGTATATATATATATATATCTTTTATTGACTCTTTAGATGTCATATCATGACAAATTAGTCACTAAGGTAGAGCAGTTCTTCCAATTGTCGAGTTGAAGAACTGGTATCTTTATCCTGGCTAGAACAATGGACAATTCTAGCCAGTGTCAGCCTTTTATCGAGTTAGCAGCACTCTAGTAATCGCCGGCATAGGTCAGCAGTCGTAGGTCAAAGACAAATCACAAGAAGTGCTGTGACCTGGGTTTGAACCCAAGACCTCTACTTTTCAGCCTGAAGCCAGACTTCCTGCTTTTCAGACCAATGCCTTAACCACTAGGCCAACCCGGCGACCACAAGGGCTAAGTGCCAATGGAAGTTCCCCTGACTTGAATTGGTCCTATCCACCAGATATTGCAAAACCTCGAGAAAGAATTGCCCATGCAGATGACTCAGGGCTGAACCATGCATGACATGGACAGATGAGCGCATCTTTATGTGCAAGGAAGTGGTGGCAATTTGGAGGGGTTATAGGATGTTTTCTTGCAAGAGTATGAGTATGAACACTGTCTATGCCACACCTGTCACACCTTCTTCCAATAGCTCCTATGCTCCTTGTACTGCCTTTGGCAATGTTTAAAACTGAAGTCCCAGCTGAATTTTGGTACATTGAATGAAAAGGATGCAGTCAGCATTGGTTTTATTTTTTCTTCCAATATTGCATCGGGCTCCGTACACTGATTTTTGCAATGTTTATAACTTGGTCCCAAGCTAATTTTGGCCCACTCTGCAAATGGAATGATTACTCACCCAACCATGACCAAATATCAATGAATGATATTCCCAGATAACAATCTGTTGCGTTTTTTTTATACGCACTGTATATGTTTCACCTTCGCAAAAAAGTATTAGACACAACAGTGGACCTTTGTCCGTCTACTCCTTTTACAAAATTTTCTCCCTAAAATCTGATTAAACTGGCATTTCAATACAATATTTAGAGTTTTATCTACATAATTTGCCAATACTATTTTTTCAACGACAAGTTGGGCTTTTCTAGCATGAAATAAAAGGTTTCAAAAACATAAAAAGAAAAGCTAAAAATAATAGTAATTGGTTTGTAATATTAAGAGTTACTTTACTTAGAAAATCATTCCATAATTAGATTAATGATTAGACAATGGATATGATTCTTGATTAATGCCAGCTGACCCCATTATTCCATGACAAGGAAACATCATGTTAACATCATCATCCTACTGTATTTGGATTAACTGTAATTATAACATATATTGTGTCACTTAATAGTGTTCTAATCACGATAGACACTAATTATTACATTCTTTTATATAGTTTCCTGTGAAAACTTGTTGGAAATATGTAAAACTTGTCAACTTGAAAACTTGCTGGTAATATGTAAAACTTGAAAACTTCCTAGTAATATGTAAAACTTGTGAACTTGAAAAATTGCTGGTGATATGTAAAACTTGTCAACTTGAAAACTTGCTGGAAATATGTAAAACTTGTCAACTTGAAAACTTGCTGGTGATATGTAAAACTTGTCAACTTGAAAACTTGCTGGTGATATGTAAAACTTGTCAACTTGAAAACTTGCTGGTGATATGTAAAACTTGTCAACTTGAAAACTTGCTGGTGATATGTAAAACTTGTCAACTTGAAAACTTGCTGGTGATATGTAAAACTTGTCAACTTGAAAACTTGCTGGTAATATGTAAAACTTGCCAACTTGAACTTGTCAATTTTTATAATGCATTTTATAATGCACTTAGTGCAAAGTCAAATTTCAACAAATTGTGTCATTACGGAAATTCACCTTCGCAATTTGAACAGAAGTTTAAATCTGTGATTGCTTGTGTTTTGTGTTTTAAATTAATGATTTAATAGAACCTTTAATATTTCCCTTTTCAGAAGTTATCAATATATTGTACAAGAATCTTATGATATATGTTTAACATAAAAAGGGAAAATGAAGCTTATGTATATTTGGTTATAAGTCATGACTAATCTAGGAATCAAAATTGACATTTCTATTTTTACGCATCTTGATAGAACAATAAACGTTGGTATTTACAATAAAAAATACCTTTTCTCAGATGAGCTTATCTTCCTGAAAGCACAGTAACTAGCAATTAAGCACTTGTCAAGCGACATAAAAGATATAAATAAATAAATAAAAAAATACATAGAGGTAATCAACTTCTGTCACTGATGAAATTATGTTGAGAAAAATAATACAACTGGATTCATCAATGAGTCACTATGTGTTTGAATGAGTGGTGCACAACTATTACAAAGTACTGTGGTATGTACTTGTATGTCTGATTTCTGGCTCTGTCTTCGAGAGAAAAATATGTAACAACATATTATGGAATATACTAATGGGGTATTACTAGCCAAAATACGGCAATAAACTAACATACATTACACAAATTGCAAGAAACTGGCATCATAACACACTTACCTTGAAGGATTCCATGACAAGCAACTACAGATTATTTTACAATTGATTTCATGTTGAAGGGTCCAGTCGTTAAGATTCATCACAAGAAACTGAGATTATAACACACTAACCTTGAAGGATTCCATGACAGGCAACTGCAGCTTATTTTACAATTGATCTCATGTTGAAGGGTCCAGCCACTCAGATTCATCACATCAGGCGCCTCATATATCCTAACAACACCATCTGAGGAACATGTTGCCTACAATCAACATACATGGGGTCAAGTAACGATGCAGAGTTCTCAACATTTTTCTCCACACGAAGTCAAGTAGAGGTAAAAATTTCTGAATGGTGCTGCTTTTAAAAATGTAAGATAAAATTACTATAATAATTACTGTAATTACCACATAAAAACATTTGCTCTCACTTGAGAATGAGAAAAATCATGAGAAATTGGGTGCTTTGAAAAACTTTGGTCAAAATTATCAATTTTTCACACACTTGAGAAAAAATCCTGGTGTGCAACATATCAATATCCATACTCACCAATTGTAGACCTAGGTGTTTAGGAGCGAACTTTACGTCAGTGACTGATGTGCGACTGTCTACAAGTGTGCCTCGTCTCACCCAGTGGCTTTGTCCGTGCTCTTGTCTTGATTCTCCGACTATCAAATTAAACATATTGTTAATAATAAACAAATAGAGATTCAGCAGACTTATATATTGAGATGTATATACACTGTACATTGAACTTCAAGGTGACCTTGACCTATAAATGTACATACTGAAGATTCATGATCACAGATGTACAATGTGACTGAGTATCCTAATAAGTTCAGACACACGTGAAATATGATGCCGATATATATTACCAATAAATATGTTATTGTCTAACATATATGGCTTTCTCTGACTTGTGTGTTAATTTGCCTATGACATTTGACTTTCAGTCAAACCATTATATTTGGAATGGACACATACTCCAAGCTAATGCCCAGTTTCGTGACTGAACAGTCTGAGTTGAAGTGAATGTCAAACATGTATATAAATGCATCCTTCAAAATTGGGCTTTGCTAAGCTTAGAAAGAATTGAAATACCCTAGACCAAGAATGAAGAAATGAAGAAATAAAAAATAAATAGAGAATTTCAGTGTTTTTTGCAATCCTGCATGCCTGTTAACATTAGAAAATCTATGTTCAGTAATTTAACATACCTATTTCCTCCCAGACTATTGCTGTTCTGTCAAATGAACATGTGGCAATGACTTGTCCAAATTCTGGGTGAGCCCAGGTGACTCTCCACACAGAACCATAATGAGTCTGAAAACAATCAAAATGTTGACATTGTTAGTAAAACAATCCTAGAGAATAACTTCTAATTTATTTATTTATTTATCTATTTAGCCTCTAAAATTTATTAAAAGTTATTCAATGAATGTAATCTTCACTAACTTATACTTAGTAATGCAACATTACCATAATGCATGTTTAATGTGGGAATGGGATAATTGAGACCCCATATTAATCAAATTATTGTGTGGCATATCGAATAGTATCAAAATTCATCAATCAACCAGTAAATGCTATCATATTAAACTGTTCTTTTTTGTATGATTCAGTGTATGCCTTTATAGTAGAGTAAATACACATTCATGGATCTAGTCACTTAATTTCTAACAACTTTTTAAATATCTTAACCACTGGTTTTAGCATGATTACAAACTATACACAATAAGATGACTCCCCAAAAATAAATATAATTTACCTTCCAGTCTGCAGTGCATTTCCATTCCTCATCATCTCCAAGATCCCAAACCTGAATAATAAAAAACATTCAAATATCTTGCAAGATAATCATAATAATATCGTACAAGATCAGTGATATTTAGCATAATGTAACAGGGTACGTGCTGTATGAAACCTACCGTAGATGACCCAGATAGCAATGAATCTTGGACTAGACCGTAAAGTGTTACCCTACCATGTGTACAGGGCACATCCCAACGTTTAGAAAGAGTTTTTAATTAATAGTGTAGGAGTGATATTTGGCATAATGTAACAGGGTACGTTCTGTATGAAACTTACCGTAGATGACCCAGATAGCAATGAATCTTAGACTAGACCGTAAAGTGTTACCCTATCATATGTACAGGGCACATCCCAACGTTTAGAAAGAGTTTTTAATTAATAGTGCAGGAGTGAAAACTTATTTCAAAGCTGCTGGAACTATCAAACAGGAGTTAGTCTCACCTAAGGATCTGAGTCCAAAGTCTAATATCTCCCAAGTTAATTACAAAATTAAATGTCAAGACTGAGCTCATATAGGAGAAACTAAGAGACCAATGTTCGGATCAAGGAACATCAGACTGCTTTAAGATTAGGAAAAGAAACATTGTCTGCTTTAGCTGAACATTCATATACAACAGGGCATAGGATTAACTGGAGCGATTACTAGTGTTGTCGCGATGTGCCATAATCGTACACCAATGCATCGGGAATTTTCTGGAGTAAACATCGATGCACATCCAATGTACATAGGGGAAAGGTCGGAGAAAAAGTGCCCTAAAATACTGAATGCAAATGCACTAAAATACTGAATGCAACAAATAAGTAATAGTACTTTGTACTTCTGGGAAAAGTGAAGGGAAAACAAAGTAAAAGTTGAAGGGCATTTTAAAGCGAAAAAATATTTGAGAACATTAGAAAATAACTAAGCAATGAGATAAGACATTTACGTCAAAACGAGATAAGAAAAGGTGATTTTTAGCAGTTTGTTTTTAAACAATGAATATTGATGTTTTGTTTCAGACATCCATGCATAACCAGAATCACTTTTGGCGATGTATATCTTGATGTATCGATTAATTGCGACAACACTAGCGATTTCAGTATTGTTGATAAGGAAAGTAAGGTCTTTGATAGAAAAGTTAAGGAAGTAATACATATACACTTAGATAAACAAGCCCTGATCAGAGATTCAGGTTATCTCATTGCTAGAAACCGTGAAGCCAAGGTTAGGTTCAAGTTCAAGGACAGCTGGGTTGGCGGGAAATCAAAGAGAATGTTACTGATGAAGGATGCAGTTGCAGTCGAAAGCTATAACTCCGTAAAAATCTTCCATTGTCCTTAAACGTCATACATGTATACTGTTTCAAAATCACGATACAAGTCAAAAGGCTTGATATAATAAAAATTTTCTCTGAAGAAATCAATAAAGTTGTTTAAGGTGCCATGATACTTAACAGGAAATGACAAAACAGGAAGTGACAAAAAATTTTGCATTTTTAGACATTTATTCAACTAGTTCCACATACCATTTACAGGTCCAGGATCACAATGTTCATGGTCAGAATGACCCTAAGCATGATGAAATAACCTTTTCAGCCCTCTGAAAATGTGACTGAAAAATAGCTAAAAGTATGAGGTGGGAAAGGTCACCAAACAGAATCTTTTGAATTTTTCAGAAAATGTACCCAATAGATTGCTCTAAATGATACAATCTGTTCATAGAAAAAGAAAAACAAGGCATTAACATGACAAAATGTTACCACCTAAAACAATTTGGTCAATTTAAAGCAAGTTGGAAAATACCTTTTGACCTTAAGAAGAACTTCTGAGAACATGTACATGATTTTGAAAAAAAAATTAGTCAATTTGAAGCAAGTTGAAAAAAGACCTTTTTGACCTTGAGAAGGTCATTGAAGGTCAAAGGTCAAATCTAAAGTCAGATTTGAACTTCTGAGAACTTGTAAAGTCAAATTTGAACTTCTGAAAAGATGTAGATGATTTTGAAAAAAAAATTGGTCAATTTGAAGCAAGTTGAAAACAGACCTTTTTGACCTTTTTTGACTTTAAGAAGGTCATTAAAGGTCAAATGTCAAATCTAAAGTCAGATTTGAATTTCTGAGAACATGTAGATGATTTTGAAAAAAAAATTAGTCAATTTGAAGCAAGTTGAAAAAATACCTTTTTGACCTTTTTTGACCTTGAGAAGGTCATTGAAGGTCAAATGTCAAATCTAAAGTCAAATCTAAAGTCATATTTGAATTTCTGAGAACATGTAGATGATTTTGAAAAAAAAATTTAGTCAATTTGAAGCAAGATGAAAAAATACCTTTTTGACCTTTTTTGACATTGAGAAGGTCATTGAAGGTCAAATGTCAAATCTAAAGTCAGATTTGAATTTCTGAGAACATGTAGATGATTTTGAAAAAAAAATTTAGTCAATTTGAAGCAAGTTGAAAAAAGACCTTTTTGACGTTTTTTGACTTTGAGAAGGTCATTGAAGGTCAAATGTCAAATCTTAAGTCAAATCTAAAGTCAGATTTGAATTTCTGAGAACACGTAGATGATTTTGAAAATTTTTTAATCAATTTGAAGCAAGTTGAAAACAGACCTTTTTGACCTTTTTTGACCTTGAGAAGGTCATTGAAGGTCAAATGTCAAATCTTAAGTCAAATCTTAAGTCACATTTGAATTTCTGAGAACACGTAGATGATTTTGAAAAAAAAATTTAGTCAATTTAAAGCAATGTGTCTTCCAGATTCTATTTTTAGCCGATGTGAACTTAACCTAAATCTACCTATTGCTAATCTATATTTTTTATTATCTAGTTTTAAATATGGTTCTAATTCAAAATCTTTCTTAAATAGCTTATATGTTCTTAATATAGGATATTGTAAAATATCATTTCTCCAATTATTTATAAATGCATTCTTTAGTTTCTTGTCAACCAAGTTTACTAAGTTGTCTGTATTTTGACTTTGGTCATCCCAATACTCTGTTAGTTCACATTTGTGAAGAATATCATAAACTTTTCCAGACCATGATTTAAACCCTAATTCATGTTTTTCTTGACCATATAAATAAGCTTGATTTAGAATATTAGATTCTGGTAGTTTTATAAGTCTTAACCAGTATTTTATCAAAGATAATTCAATTTTGATAGATAAAGGAAATCTACCGAGGTCACCATATACTGCAGGATTAGCTGTTTGAGTTTTGACTCCTAGAATAGATTTTAAAAAGGACAAATGCAATGTTTCAATAGATTTCATCTGTTTCTTATCATACCAAATCTCACACCCATAACAAAGTATTGGACTGACTAATGAATCAAAAAGGTGAAGAGCAACATCGGGTGGTACATCATTGAATTTCTTATACTGTTGTTTGATTTTGAATATTGCCTTTCGTGATTGTTCTTTAAGATAAGCAGTGTTAATATCAAATTTATTGCTATCAGTAAGAATAACACCGAGATATTTATATTTATTTACACGTTCAATTTCTTGATTATTAAAAGTGAAAGGATCAGAATATTTAGAGTTAAAAATCAGGACCTTTGTCTTAAGGGTGTTGACTATAAGTATAATGTGCAGTAAAGCTGTGGCCTTTTGTAATTTAGGGAGTTTCAGCCATATTAATTTTTCCGAAAATAACATGGCGGAGAAGCATCAAAATATAAGAGGGCACAGACATGATAGCTAAACTACAAAACAAAGTAAAATAAACAAAAGTTAGGACATGTATAAATGTTTCTATTTTTACATATACTGCTTCAATATGGTCCTTTGATTGCTTATTTTTTAAATTCAAAGTAGTTACTAAGATTTAAAATTTAACTGTAGCTCCTACTTTTAGCGATTTTTCAGTCACATTTTCAAAGAGCTAAAGAGGTTATTTCATCATGTTTAGGGTCATTCTGACCATGAACATTGTGATTCTGGACCTGTAAATGGTATGTGGAACTAGTTGAGTTGAACTAGGGATATGTAATTTTAAGGTTAGTAAAAGAGGAATCCACAGATTTTATTATAGATCTATATCCTTTGACTCCTTGTTACGTTTTAAAAAAGGCAAAAACTTAACTTCAACATATGAGTGTTACCTGATGAATGGGACCCTCACGTGCCTTCCAAATGGTAGTAAACTAACTCCAATGTAACTACATCAGGTTATCTTTCCGTCTGATCAACAAAAAGTAGTTATACAAAAAATGTAAACGAACTGTAAAAATTCCCAAAAATGTTCCACTGGGTTGTCATTTCCGGAAGTTATGATACATTATATTGCCGAACATGTGTGAAAATGGAAAGTGTGTTCGATGCTCGGATGTTTGCATTTTATTTAGCTCTCGTAAAATAAACGAACAAACATTCCATTTTCACACATGTTCGGCAATATAACGTATCATCGTTTGTTAATTACCATTTGGAAGGCACGTAAGGGTCCCATTCATCAGGTAACACTCATATGTCGAAGTTCTCGCCTTTTTTAACACGTAACAAGGAGTAAAGGTAGCCAGCCGTATGTGATTGTGTGCCAATAAACGTTCAGTAGGTCAAAGTTTAATGCAACCAGCTTTGTTTAGGCTTACACATTCAAATGACAGTGTCCAATATTTTTGAAGTTGAACCCTTTACCTTTACAGATTGATCACTTGAACAGGTTGCCATACGACGCCCATGGAAGTCATAAGCCACATCGTGAATCAGGTCCTTATGACCCGCGGATATACTTTTAGCTACAAACATAGTATTTACTTAAGCAATTGCATATTTGTGGAGAAAATTTTCACGTTTCATTTTTTCATTGCCGCCATTCCCACAATTCACTGCGATAAATTTTGGCGACGGTTGATTGAGTCATTTAATCTAGATAACTACATATTAAGATGATATTGCTGATACACAGCATGAAATACATGTATTATATATTTTATATCATATCAAAATGTAAGAAAACGTAAGATATATATGTTATATTTGGTTGGCGGAAGGCTACATTGTCCTCACATTGAAATAAGATGGGATGGCTAAAATTTGACAGAAATATTTCAACAAAATAAAACTGTCTGTATCCTGTCGTGAGTATGTAATTATTTCGAAAATATATATGTTCACGAATATAAATTTGTTCTCAACCACGTAGATAATATATATCTGCTTTATATGGGCTTATTAGCCTTTTGCAGATTATTGACATAGACATAAGTTTCTCTCTAGAATGATTCTCTTACAGTCATGCCTAAAACAATTCAAATTGATCTGAATAATTTTTGGTTTTCACTTCAGAGTCAATCAATGGACTTGTCTATAAAGGACTCTCATTTGTCGTCATTAGATTTGAAATCAAATTGAAAGCCCTTCATCAAAGCATAGTGATTATGGTGATACATTATTTACCTTTATATACATTATTTACCTTTTGTATTTTACTTCAGGTTTCATTCTAAACAGCAATGGCGAACGCTGTGCGGTTCCATCCATATACTGGTGAAAATATAGGCCTATCTCATGACAGCATGGTTGCTTCTCGGACATCAAGTTTCGCACATGCAATAAGCTTTAGCGACCGTCCTTTACATCCTGGTGAAATATTTCTTGTTGAAATAGAGAAAACAGAACGAGGCTGGAGTGGACATATGCGAATAGGAATTACACAGTTGAATCCTAGCACAAAATTCAAACTACCCCAACATGCTTTACCAGATTTGACAAACGGTGGAAAGTCTTGGATTTTTGCTGTCACAAAATCTTATCGTCATGAGAAACAACAAACTGAAAATCATACCAGCAGAGTGATAGGTGGCACAGAGGAATATGTACATACTTCTAGAGGCTCATTCAAACGAGCATCACTAAGACCAAATATTCAATCAAGGGCAAATAATTGCAATCAAGAAATGGAAGAATTACCAGACGATACAGCTGAATCAGACGATAGTGTTGAATTCACTGATAGTGTTCTTCCCACTGATGTAGGGAGCCGTATTGGAATTGCTTATGTAGTTAATAGTGATGACGATTTAGCAGAGTTACATTTTATTATTAATGGTGTAGACCAGGGGGCATGTGCCACAGGTATACCTTATAAAGAATGTCCATTGTATGCCGTGGTTGATGTATATGGAACGTCAAAGCAAGTGCGGATAATTCAACTTTATGGAGGTAATTGTTTATCTTCTGCTACCCTATTCATGAGTATGATTTGCATCTTTAAAATGCCCTCATTAGAAAATTTTTTCAAATAAGGGCATTTTCCAAGAAGAATTTTCCAAATGTTCATGTAATTGAGGCATCCAAGTGACTTGTTTATATGGTTGCTGCTCAGTTTTCTTCAAAGGCGATAAATACTGTATGATAACCTGTTAATTGTGCTTTAAATAAGGATTTTCAAAGGTGAAAATCTATCCCCTTGATGTTGATTATTATGCTATTTGGTTTTGTTTATCGAGGCCTGTCATATTTTTTTCAAATATGTTTAGAAACCTATTGTTACTGTACTACTATATTAACTCATTCAGCTATGTCTGATGTCATCTTCTAATTCTTGCGTTAACTTTTCAGTATTAGTTGTTAGTTATTGCTACCATATGTTAACTCATGTCAAATTCTTGTGTTTTCAGTGAGCAGTTTACAAAATTTCTGTAGAGACAGGATCTTATGGAGCTTACGTCAGGGAGAGGAAGACATTGAGCATTTACCACTTCCAGCAAGACTCAAAGATTTTCTGAGATATGATTGATACATTTTATCTCATCGCAGAAGCCCATATTTATTGTAAAGAGTGATCAGCTTCTGAATTGCTGCCATTTTTCCAATTTCTTATTGTTTAAATTGCTTAAAAAAGTAATTTCTTAACTCACATAATAGAATTCATACTGGAGAAAAGAACTTCAAATGTGATGTTTGTTTAGAAACATTTTCAAGAAAGTATTCTTTAAAATTACATTACAGAATTCATACTGGAGAAAATAACTTCAAATGTTATGTTTGTTCTAAAACATTTGTACAAAAGACTTCTCTTAGTGTTGAAAAGTTTTTAAAAGTTGATTTACATTAACGATTATGTCACTTTCTACATGTCATCAAGATCTAGTCAAGATCTAGCAATTGCATTAAGGTTGAACGTTTCAGTTGGAAATATTTGATAAATCAAGCAATGAACTAACTTGCTAGCGTTTTCCATATTTCATATTTTAGCCTAACCAAAACTACACTTGTCATCTATTTATCCATCTATATAGCCATAGTCATCTAATGCTGCCATATTTGAAAATAAAAAATAACTTATAAAGTGATTAAAATTAATTGACATTTGAACGTAAATCTACAGTCAAGAAATATCCTTTGATCTAGATCTACCCAATCAGATTCTGTTTATCAAAAACATCTAACCAATCAGATTTGTACTCTCGGAAGTTGGAATTGAAGTGACAATTTGGCAAAATTCTGATGAGTTTTCATGTGCGAATCGTAATATAGACCTCAAATCAGGTACTATATTGAGTAATAAATACCTTAGGGCTAGGCACTAAAGCTTTCAAATCCCTGTCTCCCTTTGTTCCTAGCCCTGTGGTATTTATTCATTGATATAATACCTTCAGAGTCATTAAGTTATTTTATATTTTCAGCATCAATAATATAACATTAACTATCCTAGTCAGAGGTTATCATTTCTACTAGCTTGTGAGATTTAGGATAACAAATTGTAGGCTTACTTGTAATTCTTTCATGGTACTTTATTCTTATGAGGATAGCAGAATACTGTTTGTACAGATTTCGAAATAAACCATATGTATGTACTTTATATTACCACCATGATTCTATATGATTATATATGTTATCACTTGTAAGTTATCATATGTTACATGTTTGTTAACATTTGATTGCGATCAATTGATTAGTATGTGCCGAATCCCTCAAACCCTGGATCACATAAGCTATAATATCTGTAAATAAAGTGTAAAGTGATCATGCAGGCTAATTTTGTTTTACACTCTTTATCATTGCAGAATATAATATTGCAATAAGAACTGAAAAGCAAATCGAGGAAGTCAAAAAGCGAACATTTTGAAACTGTCAGATCTTAGTGTTAACCAATGGAGTGAGTTGTAGAGTGCTTAACTTTTACGCTTGTTTGAAAATTGCTTTATATTACTAAATTAAAGTTGCAACAAAGAATAGAGGGGAAAATGTTCGAAAAATTTCTGAATGAGAATTTAGATGCCTGATTAAATATATCATAATTTGTCCCAATCTTTGTTGTCCCTTTAAGTTAAGTTAAAGGAATATTTTGATGGTTCAAATAAAACAGTTCTGCAGAGGTATACATCTTAAATTGTAAACCTGTGATTTAATACTCAACAATGAGTAACAAAATTTAGGCTTTGTAAAAAGAATGTGTAAAACACATCTAGCCAAATCATATAATTCATCAAAATGAATCCACGTGATATTATATTTACTCTTTTCTTCTTCCAATTTGGAAACATGTCATAATACTTTTATTTAATTCCATATAGAATCAAAGTAGAATGACTGGTACATGTACATATACTACAAAAAAAGTTAACGACCACATGTCTAAGTTCTCATCATGAAAATGTGCATCATGTGTTGTGAAACATGTTTCATTGTTGTCTTCCAATTAAAACACCATCTAGACAAATAAAATGTGAAAGAACAAGACCCCATTAACTTCCTGAAAAAAGTTATGACAAAAGAAAAAAGTAGCTGTGGTCCTTAACTTTTTTGAATGGTATGTAATGTAACTGTTTTTAATGGTTCAGTAAAACCTGTCTAAGTGGAACACCTTTTGTAGTGTTCCACTTGGGAGGTGTTCTACTTTAGACAGAGGTTCATTTAACAATAAATTATTTGGTCTTGGGACTCTGTTGTGTTCTACTTCTAGAGGTGTTCCACTTTACAGGCTTTACCATACATCAGTTTTTATGTTAATGTTAATTTCATTTAATTGACTGAGCAGTAAAGCAGTTGCATGCTTATGCAAATTGTATGTATGTATTAATAGAACATAATTGTGATGCATTTTAATATGATACTGTACATTTTGAAGCGACAGGTGCAATAAAGTAATAAGAATACTGTTACAATGAAGCATATATGTTATGTTGGTACATTTAGACACAATGTATATATGTATGGTGTCTTAGTGTGTGTATATTATAGGACATAGCAATGCATTGCCAGTGTGAAAATTCTTAAACCTATGAATTCCTCTGTGACTTGATGAAAACACGCCATCTACAAGACATATGTTTAAATACACACACCTCAGTTACACCAAGTACAGACAGAACTATTTAAAATATTTACCAAATAGTTTCTATGATCAAAAGCTTTAAAATGTTGTAAAACACGACCATGCTCACATCATGTTAAACATTATTGTTAGAAAACTCTTAATAGACTTTTAACACCAAAAGGTTTTGAAATATTTTCCTATTTTGACCTCACATCAGAGTGTTTAGTGTTTAAATCGGTGACAAATCATTTCTGCTGAAAATCATATCTGATGTGAGTGATATAAGACAACCTTCTTGGAAATATATCTGTTATTGGTCAATTTTGCCATAGGATTTATTGTTGCTTCAGAAATGCATCCTCTGTACACAGGGCTTCAAAATCAAGAATACCTTTGAGGTAGGGATTCTGGACACCTGGTTACAGTGCTTAGGAGAATGTGGAAATGGGACTCTGCAACATGTGAACAGATATCGAATTTGAGCGAAGTTGAATTCCAAAGGGCAATAGAAATAATTAAAAAAAGAGGGCAGCACAATCAATCTGTGTTTATTTGAACTTTTCTTTCAGAGAGAAAGGTAAGAGGAGGGAAAACCCCAGAGCTTTAGAGATGACAGACATAATTACATCTCTTACTTACCACCTTCGCTTGTCCGAATTATCAACTGGCTGTTTAAATTGATGTTAGTGTATTCCTTACATCTTTCTTTATCTTGATGTGAAATAACGACCTATGATATTGTTAACATGCAAACAATCAACATATTATCATTCGAAGCATGTTTTGAAAATTTTGAATTCACCATTGAATGAAGTGATCTGTCTGTCTATTTCACCAATCAGCGACAATGTCTTCTAAATACAGATTTACATTATAGACATATGTCTTCTTTGAACCCTGGGGTTATTCCCCCTCTTGAGAAAGGTAAATAGGATTCTATGGTGCTGCCATCTTTATATTGGCCCAAAACCAATGTGAATTCCCCCTGTTGTCAGCCTTACTTTTGTACCAAAGCATTTAATGTAGCCTACCTCTTCCATTTTTCAAGTAACATTTCAATAAAATATATCTAAAAAATCTTGGAATTAATTCTAAATTTTCAAGAGCTGCCCAGCAGAGCAAGTCAAAAACCACAATGTCCAACAAAAATCTTGGATCATCAAAATTATGTTGCATTTAGTAGAATCGTTTAAAAAGAGTGAAAATGGTCTTAAATGTATACTGATCAGACGTGTGATTGTGCCTTATGCCAGCCACAACTTGATGGAAAAGATGGTGACCAAAGTCTGAGGCCACCAGAAAATATGAGCTTTTCAGTCTCGCAATTTACATAGATGTCACTTTCACCACTAACACCTGTTTAGTGTCTAAATGACTAATTTGAAGTTCACTACTTCCTGACCTGTAAATATTGATATGATTTCAGAAAAGATTATTACAAGGTTTTCCAAAGGGGAGGGGGCATACCCAATATCAGGCTTTTAAAGATGCATTATACCATGGGTTTCTCCCCCAGACAATCAATGATGTCCTATTGTTATGGCTCATATAATATCTCACATACCTAGCGAGGCTAGCGAGGCTAGCGAGGCGAATCCCCATTGAGTGACAAAAGGGCCTTGAACCAGGCAGCCAATCAGGTTCATGATAAACAAATTCAAGGACCAATCAGATAACAGGAGGACTTTCCCGGTTTTTTCAAACTTCAGATTGGATTAATTTCTTGGAAAATAATTAGATCCGCTAGCACAATTGCAAAATTAACACTGAAAGAGGGGGATTTAGGACTTCTTCTTTGGTAAACTCGGGTGCACCCCAGTTGTCCGAAACCCAGTTGTCCGAAACCCAGTTGTCCGAAACCCAGTTGTCCGAAACCCAGTTGTCCGAAACCCACTTGTCCGAAACCCATTACTCCGAAAAATATAGTCATAATTTACCAGAGAATGGGGAACCGTAGTAAGCTTAGGCCAGTTTCATGCCATGTATTTGGACGCATTCTGATGTTCATAGATCTCTCTCTCTCCCTCTCCCTCTCCCTCTCTCTCTCTCTCTCCCTCTCTCCCTCTCTCCCTCTCTCCCTCTCCCTCTCTCCCTCTCTCCCTCTCCCTCTCTCCCTCTCTCCCTCTCTCCCTCTCTCCCTCTCCCTCTCTCCCTCTCTCCCTCTCTCCCTCTCTCCCTCTCTCCCTCTCCCTCTCCCTCTCTCCCTCTCTCCCTCTCTCCCTCTCTCTCTCTCACTTTGAATTGCATCCATTGCACGCGTTACCAGAATGGCAGGAACGGGGGATTTATTTTACATTGTGATTCTAAAAAAAGGTTATCAAAACACAATATATATTACGGTTTATCTTATCTTCTTCAATCTCTTTTATATAGGCAAAATAAAATGCATCATTTTGAAACGGATAAAATAAGTTTACGCATATAGTACTTTAAGAATAAAACAGTATACATATTATGTTGTCAAAATATTTCGTCGCATTTAATTTCTTAGTCTCTGTATTTTATCAAATCGTAAAAGAACAAAACATTCTTAACTTAATCACTTGGGATCAACTGGAAACGAAGGCAGGCTGTCCTCGTATCAAAATGGATGTTCTCCCATTTGCAAGAAGTTTCATTTTCGCCATGTACTCACTGAATCCTTTTAATCTCTATTTCTCGAACAGAGTACGTAAATGAAGAATAAGTTTTGGTTTCAAAAGATGTACATGTCAACTTTACTAAATAAATGCCCACTGGCTTGGGAAAGCTATTTTTCCTTTTATGAACGCTCATCACCCATTGGAAAAATGTTGTTCCCTCTCAAAAAAGGCCCATGGGCCATAAAGAAAATTGGTTTAAAAATTGTAGACCCCTATCTATGTATGTTGTGAAAACGCCATTTTACAATGAGAATAACATAATTTAACTTTGTTTGTTTGAACATCTATATCACCTGTATATGAACTTTCGTAGGCTAAACATTTAAACAATTAACGTCTTGACTTCGCATATTTAGCCTAATTTTGCAATGATGTCAACGTTATTCCAATGTTATGTTGTGATTCGCAGAGGTTGCGACAACGAGATTCGTTTAAAAAAATTGTATTTTTCAAATAAGATCCCCTAATTTTCGGACAACTGGGTTTCGGACAACTGGGTTTCGGAAAACTGGGTTTCGGACAACTGGGTTTCGGACAACTGGGTTTCGGACAACTGGGTTTCGGACAACTGGGTTGACCCCGTGAAACTCAATATGTAAAAAAGCCCAGAGGGGTCTTGATTGTGCCATCATATGGCATATAGCCTCTTTAAAGATTGACAATGTCAAAAATAAAAAGTCACATCAGTTCTCTGTAATATCCCAATTAGAGGGCTCCACAAATGTAACCTAAGACTGTCCATGGAACATTTGTCTAACTACGAGGAATTGTTAATATGATAATGAATTTGTAGATGTGACAAATAAGATTTTTTGATTTTCAAAAGTGACAATTCAACCTCACTACCTTCTCTTGGGAGCCCTAATTAACATAAGATACAGAGCTTTTTAACTATGATAGATCTGAATGGTAACCCCTTCTTCAGTGTCCTTGTATGTGATAAACACATCTATAATTGTTCAAATGTGTTCTGTGTCATGAAAGGAATGATTTCTAATAAACTTGTTTTATTAACAATTTTTAGTACTAGCATGGGCATTCAATTGAAAGCCCATGATACTAGGGTAGTTTACTCATCAAAATAATAAATAGTATTAAGTCCACACATGTTAATAATTTATTGTTTGGTCTATCTAAACATTGTTACAGGTAATTTTAAAAGTGAGACTTCAGATCAATTTAGAATCCATCCCTTCCACTCTCTGTGTACAAAGGGGAAAAGAAAATGAACACCCTTCTTTTTTCTTGGAACGTAGATAATGACGGGGTATGAATCCTATTTTCAGGACAACTCTATTATCTGGACAATCTGCCCCAGTGGCTGTGTTCTAAATGAATTGGAAAAGAAGGGTTAACTTTTACAAAGCACGTTGGTTTATTGACATAGATGCATGATGGGAAAGCATTGAATTGCGCACGCAGTTTAAAGACTTTTGCACTTCCGGGTAGTGCTTTGTTGTTCGAAAGCAGCAAAGATGCCTCGCCGAAAACAAGCTAACCCTACAGCAGTTAAATGTAAGTATTGTTTCTAATAAATATTATAGATGTTTTACTCATATATAAATCTTCAACATGGCAGAATTCGGAAGATTTTGCTATCATTTTACGTAAAGAAAATTGGCTTCTTAGTTCATAAACTCATGGAATAGAAACTGAGAAAGATGCTGAGATAAGATGTCAGATCAGCATTCAGAATACCTCACCTTTGACTGTAAACTTTGTTTGAAGGAACATTCGGAGCGACATCGTGTAGTTATTGTGTTTATAAACATTGTCAAATGTCTAGAGTTGTTTTTTGTTTGTATTCGGTCGGATGTAACAATGCAATTGAAAAAAATAAGAATTCTTGAAATGGAGAAGTTGAAAGCCCATAATTTGAAGATGAAGAAATTAGATGTTTGGTGGCACTGTCTGATGTTTTGTATGGAGGTATCAAATGTCCTTTGCAACAGAGTCAAAATTTAATTTTCATGTCACCACCAGAAGTGTTATAGTTTTTTTGTGGACAGTGTTCGGTGGTTGGTATTCGGTGGTTGGAGTCTGTAACAAATGGCAGGTTGTAACATTTTGCATGTTATTGTTATTGCCTTGTTAAATTTTATAAACCTTATTTGTGTTTTATGGAATCTTCCATCAATTAGAGTAATGCTAACAGAAGAGGGATGGGGGGACCCTCCATCATTTTTTTGCCAAGTTTCCATGTGGTTTAGTGACATCACAACCTTAGTTGCATAGAATAATTAATTTATTTTTGAAAATCTTATAAGAAAAGATTTTGGCCCCTTTGTATATAACATTTGGCGCCAATTTGTAAAAATTTTGATCATTTTTCTGTAGAATTTACCACATTTTTCAAATCATCCTGGCTTACCCAACTAGGGGGAATATATGGAGATTCCTCCATAGTCTGATCAGAGACTTATATTTTGGACATTCAATTCTAGTCGAGACCTCCCACTGTCTTGGTTGGTCATTAGTTTCTTGATTTTACAGTTTTTTAGAATTTCGTTTATATACCCACATAAAACTGTAGTCTAATATAGATTCAAAAAACGTCGTTAATTTGTCAAATATTGTTCCCAACCAGTTTCTATCAAGTTACTATGGAATAAAGCATGTTGAAATTTAATATTGCTCAACTGTATCTCTCTGTCATATAATATTGAATAATGTGCAATATTAGGCAACATGCTATATTTTCTTGATGCAGGTCCAGGTAACGAATATAATGTGATGAAAAGAATATTTGTAATCCTTTCACAGGATTAAAATTCAAGTTTGGTTTTCACAATTTTTGTGAGTTTTGATAATTCATTTGATTTTCTTTTTAATTCTTTATTTTGATGAAAAATGAAAGTTCATGATTTCTATCTGTAGTGCCGGGTGGTAAATGTTCTTATTTTGAACCTCTGTATTGGTTTATGTCATTTCCATTATTTAAGTGTCTCGGTGGCCATGTTATACAAATGTGAAATTTAATAGAATAAAGAGAAATTAGCAAGGAATAAAGCAACAAACTTATATTTAATAAATTAATTTATATAGAAATGTTAGAAAAGTTGATGCCTTGTTCAAATTTGAGAGAAACAGAGTGAAATAAGCATGTATTTTGTGAAACTCCAAGTACAGGTTGGTAAACATGAAACCACTGTTGCTAAATATATCAAATTCATCCAGGTAGAACTTTTGTTGGATGCTGGGCGATTATGTAGAATTAGGCAAGAATTTTTCAACCAGGCAATTTTATGGCTTGTTGCTTCAAAAAGATTACAGCATCATGTGTCTAGTTTTGTAAAAGTTTCAACTCATTGGATTCCCCCTCCAAAAGATTTCATAATCATTGAGATGATGATTTTGTCAGAAAACAGAGGAGATGTACATATTTATCTTTAATGCCACTAGATTTCTCTTATAACTTCTTTCCATGTTATAAACAGAATCAAATTAGTTGCCAAAATACTTCTTTTCGGAACTGTTTTCAGAATTCCGGTTCAGCTTTAATTGGTTAATATCTTCTTATTCCTCTCCCTCATCCAAAGTGCATGTATTTCCAAAGAAACTACCACATATTGTGGTTTCATCATAAATGGTACAGACTTGGGAGTGTTTATCAATATTTGTTGGGCATTTTATTTTTGTCTTTGTCCACCACCCAGAAATTAGAGGAAGAAAGGAATTATGATGCAGGTGTACATGACAACCGGTTTTCACCATGGCAACCTGTGTCTTGTTTGTCATGTATGAGAAAAACAAGTTCTTTGGATGATCTGTTAACATCAGCTCCCCAACTGAGATTGAAAAATATATGCTGTAACAATATTATATAATAACAATTGATATATATTCAGTAAAGTAAAACTATGTCACCAATATGAGAAGTGAACATTGGTTTACTTTGGTCATTTAGTTTAGACACTATACTGTGTACATCCATCCTTGGCCCAAGAGTAATTCATTGTATTACATGAGCTGCTATGAAAGCAGGGAAGGACCTATCTAGAAGGATGGTATACATCTTAATTTCATATCTTTGAAAGTTGCTTATTGTTCATCTTTTTGCAACTATAATCTGAGCTTTATATCAAAACCTAAAAAGAAATTCTCCAAACTCAATTTGATTCATTTTGATTCACAAGGTTTCAGTTTCACCAACTTGTGCTATTACCACCTTGGAAGTTTAAGATGATTTACTATATTGAAGGGCTATATTGTGTAACATTATTTGGCAATGTATTGGTCCACTAACCATACTCAACAGCCAACCTCTGGATGAATGCAGCTTTTAACATTATAATGTGTCATTTTCTTTTTGTATAGACCAGTGATCTTGCATAATGTTGTATAAGGTTCTGCTTGTTGGTTAGGATGTGAACAAAGATGAAAACTGCACTGAGAGCGTGGTAGGCATTGTCACTTTGTCACAGTTCATGCATCTTAAAGGTGGTTTCATGTTTCTCATCTTTCTTTTAAAGATGAAACCACAGTCAGAATAATGATTTTTCATTTGAACACATCAAATGTCAATATTGTGAAGCCATGCAAAAATTGTGAAAAGATATGTTCATGTTATATAATAGTGGGAAGAACAAGTAACAAAAACTTGAATCCATTTGCCTGGGTATTATTATCTAACAATATTAACAATTATGAATTATCCAGCTGAATCAGACTGTTGTATCAAATGCACCTGTTGGGCCATACAACAACATTTTAACAAAGAAAGATTTAGAACCAATATTTGTATATAGATGCATCTTAGATCATCACTATAATGGTTTTCCTGCAGTTTTGTATTTGTGTCATATTGATTGCTAGTTTGTAGCCTTTACCAGAGGAAATGGAACGACTCAACGATTCAACAATTTCTCATCAAATTTTTCAACTTTGTTCTAATTTTGTCCCTCAATATCCAAATATCCAGGTATTGAATGTCTCACATCAGTAATTCACTAATCAGTGAGCAGAAAAAAACATATACCGGTAGTACTGGTCAATATTGTGTCAACAATGGCATAAGGAAATAATCATATATTAGAAATTGTCCATCTAACAAAGAAAAGTTCTTGTTTGCTCTGCGAGTTTAGATGTTTCTTTTAAATCCTAAGATTGAAGCTTTCTTTGAAGAAGTTGAATCAAATACTGCACATGCAGAGTAGCCACTAGCCATTTCAGGGGTTTCACTAGAATTTCTCACAACAGGCTAAATAAATGAAAACAACAGGCAAAATTAATGGAAATCATAAATTTAACATGGAAAGGTTGATAATTCCCTTAACTCAACAGGCGATTTTGTGAAACAACTGGTGAAAATCACCTGTCGCCTGCTGTAATGATACCCCTGCACTTAATCAAGGCAGTGTTAAAGGTTATTTATTACATGTATAATAGTATGAGAGAGTTATTAAACTATATCCAAATGTTACTTGCTGAACTCAGTAGTTCCTTGAAGATATAATTATTTCTGAGTGAGAGAAATTAATGTATAATTGTTGACTTTGAATGCATAATCATTGTCCCTTTCACCCAGATGGATATCATCTAAGATGGTACAATGGTAGACATAGCAACAGCATATCGTAGAATTGATTTCAGTTATTTATTATTTAGTCTGGTTATATCTATGATGCAGTTGCTATAGCAACAGTATTGATGTCTTAGAGTGTTCAATTTTTCAATGGTTGCTTTTATATATAAAACAACATCAATAATAGATGCAGGGGAACCGATGCAGGTACAAGGTTTATACTGGAGAATGTGGGAAAAGATGTGCCTGTTCTGTAGACTTACCACAAATAAAAATATTATTGTATCTTAAGACCTTCGCTGAATAGATCTTGGTCCCTTTTGTGAACCTTGGAAAAGCTGTATATTGGCTAGATTTATGATGTCATACTTTGTAGTCAGTGATATTTATCAATAAAATGTAAGAAGTTTTAGAAAAAGGGGTATTGGCTAAAATGATGCCATAATTAGTAGTCATTATTAAACAAATTTTAATCCCATTTTAACTCGATTTCATGTAGGCATTATTTAAACAAAATGTAAGAAATGCGATTGTTTAGCCATTTTCCTTCTTATCCCTTTTTCAAGTGATGAGGTTTCTTTTTCTGAAATAAATTCAGTCGCTTTAAACAAACACTTAAATCTACCTACATATATTTTATCTATAAGTGTCCTATGCAACCAAGATATGTAGCAAACACTAGACAATATAATTATGTGTGATCCTTTGCTACTGTGAGAGCCCAGCTTGATAACAGCAGTTTTAAGATGTTTGACATCATCTTTCATTTTTTTATCAAGTTATATCCAATTTCTTCATTTGTTCGAACATTTGATTTACCATTGAAAAGACAATACGATGAAACAACTTTGCTTCGATGATTTTGTATTTGTAACATGGTAACTTTTGTCAACCTTGGTGACAATTTATTCATCAGTTCATCTTGTTTTTGTGGTTTATGGGAAAAATGGGGTTAAATTTATGAGTTGCTTAGATATATCGTAGCGATGAT